TTTTTGAACACTTCAGCGCTTTAAAGCTAATTGAAGGATGAGCTGTTAAAAGTTAATTGAACCGATGAAATTTCTTTCATCTTTTTTCGGTGTTTTTTGCCTTATTGATATAAAAGATACGTGCGATTAGCTTTCTTGTAGGGAAAAAGCACATCTAATTTACCGGAATTTACCGCGTATTAAAAATTAATACAGAAATTTGTGGTATGTAAATAATTAACCTAAAAAAAACGAATCGCAATTTGAAGAGTAGTGAATATCCGCGGAATTTGTCAAAGCAATGGCTAATTCTTTACTAGATGGTTCAAATGTTTTTATAATGGGAAATCTAATTGCAATTCAAATTGACTTAAAAATGGATTTGATTCCAAAGACATATTGATATGTAAATTACGTAATTTCTAACCATTTACCTAATTAGGTATTACCTAATTATGTAATTACATCTATATAAATATTATAAAGTGGAAATTTTTATTTTTATACGTATTGAAATAAATCAAAAACTACTAGGCCGATTATGAAAATTCTTTCACCACTCAAAAGCTACGTTATCGCTGAGTAACATAGGCTTATTTTTAAATTTCGCGTGGACGAAGTCGCGAGCAACAGCTTGTTATTAATAAACACTAACGCTACTTAGCTACGTAAACCTAGATCCTAATTTTCGCAGAATAGCGTAGCTGTATTATTCAAAGTGATACCTTAATTATTACAAAGTTACCTGCTTGTTACATCAAGCGCTTGCCGATATCGATCTGTGTTGCAATAACATTGTGCTATATACCAGGACTATGTAACAATGTATACTTAGGGTATAATGTAATTTTAGGTAGATATCTCACCTTCGTTCCCCTTTGTTGAAAGGAGTCGTGGTAAGAGCCTAGGGGTCGGAGCGAAGGGGCAAGGGGAGGGCGAAGTACCGCCCCTTTGAGCCTCTCCTATCCCGCTTCAACCACGAATACATTATTTTACCGCTTCCGGCATGAGTTTCAATTTACCGACAAGACGATATATCTTGTTAAATTCGAATTCAATGTTGAGAAATTCATTACGTTATTGCTGAATCAATAAGGTATTTTAATATATAAAAAGTGTTGTTTTAGATTAGGTATGTTGTTATTAATGTATCTTGCAAAGAAGTATCTAGTAATAAAAAATATAAAATGTTTAACTATAACATAGATTATTATATTATTGTATTTAGTCATTTAAGGCTTAATAAAGGTACGTTTTAATGATTTTTAAGTGTGACACAAATAATGAAGACAATATCATTATTCCGGATAAACTTAAAAACTACACAAACGTTTGACTGTTACGTACAACTCACCTCTATTAATTAATTAAGGCTCCGTTCTACTAAATTATATTTTTACGTTGCCTAAAATCAAGGTAACATGAACGGATGGAGCAATTTTACTAGTTTATCTTTATCACTGGTTCCTATGAAAAAAAAATTAAGACCAAGTTTAGTGGAATATTACAAAACATGGAACATTTGTCGAAAATTTTATACTGGATGTCCATCGTCAGTAATAAACGTAATAGATTCCTAACTAATAATCATTTTTTGTGATAAAATGCAAATCGTTTAAGAGAAAAACCAAGGATAATATTCACCGAATTGAAATGTTACTTTCATAACTGGCTGGTTTTAAAAATCATAAATAGAGAAGACGCTTATGACGCCGGGGTGCGGGCGGTGCGGGTCGCGGGGAGTTCGGTTCGTATGAAGGGAGTTTGCGCTCAGCGTCCGCTATCAGACTCCAACACCGACCCGCGACATTTACATTTTAATTGAAGCCCCAGGGACTGCACCGGATAATTTTCGAATGGATTAATTGTGTTCCCGCAACGAGGCGCTCAATCAATTCCACCAGACGTATTATCCCACGCTTAAAATGTTCTTTAGCTGAATATTTTAGCAGCGGAGTTGAGTGAATTTAAATAAGATATTTATACATATAGATATTTTAGAAGAAATTCAGCCTCGGGATGGCATATTATTTTTTGTACTTTCAAGTAAATAGTGATATTTAAAAAAAACTAATAACCATAAGCCTCGGATTGGTATCGAGCAGAGCAGTGGTCTGCTGTAGTAACTAACAGTAGTTTTTTGTACAAGTATTTCAAAAGTGGAAACTCGTAACTATGAATCGTCGATTAATTATAAAGTCCAAAATACTGAATATACATAAATAACAGGATGTATCCGGTCTTGGCGTCAAGCTGTCTGCCTCAACGATGACACCGGCACCTTAAAACCCAGCTGATATGAAAGAAAAAAAACAAAATTTGAAACAAATATCCGACAAAAAATATTTTATCTACACTTAGGACTTCACAAAACGCATTCAAACTTTGTCATTTTAATTTATGGTGAAAAGCAAGGGGCGTTGGGTAGTTTGCTAATGTCACATGTCATTAATCAAGTCTTTGGCGGAATGTTTTTTTAAAGTTGTTTCAAAATATGAATGCTCAATTATCGACCATCTGAATAAAAGAATAAGATCACAAATCCATTGCTTTCAAATTGTTAACCTCCTGGTCCATTTTTCTTGATGATATTCCGACTGTTATATAACAAATGGCCCCTTGACCTGGGAGCCTGAGACACATCGCAAGAACGGAACCGTAAAATTTTACTCATTTGTGTCAACAAACACATATCGCGTTTTTTCTAAGCGAAATCACCTTTTTTATCATTTCCTTTCCGTTACATTTTCGCTATCTAAATAAATAACAGATTACATTGCCTCATATCAATACAGATGGAAAAATTAAGACTTCGAATATAACAACATTTGGCAAACATCATGTATTTGCATGTCTTATAATAGGTAGCGATACAACACTAGTGATGACCTTACCTCATCAGATTTCCTGATAAAACCTATATTATCTGAAAGAGCACATTTTTTTAAACATGTAACCGGGTTGCCTAACCCTAGCCTGGCAAGGCTATGTTTAATTGTTCTCCGCAGTGGTCAATTTTCCACCAATCGATAGTACGTAACGTAAATATATAACGTATAACGAAAATTTGTTTTTTAAAGTTTCATGTGCCGTTTAGCAAATCAACAAAAACAGGCTAATCAAAACGGCAAAAAGGTGACTTATTTGCGTCAGAGTAAGCTTACTAGGCTTTTTCTGATTATAGCATCCATTTGTTCTTTATCTAATTTGTTATTATCTTAATAAATATTCACTTTCGTGTCACTAATTTTCGGCCAACAGATAAAATAGAGAAATTAATTAAAAATTAATTCTTTTATTAAATAAACCTTTCTAAATTAAATCTATACTAATATTTTAAGAGGAACGATTTGTATTTATGTATGTATTTGTTCACCCAAAAACTACTCTGCCGATTTTAAAAATTCTTTCACCATTAGAAAGTAATTTATTTGTGACTAACATAGGCTATATTTTATTACTACTAATGTTTAGGAACTATTAATAAAAAGCGTATCTCTGGACCGCGGCGTTAATATTATCTTATCCAAATAAATGCGTTTGTTGTCAGGAGAATCTAATGTAGAATAAAATTGTCCTTTACAGCATTTAAATTGGGCAAATATGATCTTTTAGAAGATATCGCAAAGACAAACAATAAGGGTAACCTAAAAATCAGCTCCCAAACTACCGGTGTTAGAAATTTGGAATCTGGTATCAGTAGATTTCTGTTATTATGCAGATTGCTACATAACTTTTTTTCTTTAGTTTATTACCTGAGTTAATATTATCATAATAAACCTATTGGTTGAAAAAACGGACGAACTTAAGTTTTGAACTTTCAAACTCGACGCAGACGAAGACGTGGGCAAAAGCTAGTATAATAAATATGTGATGTTTTATTTATTTCAAGTTTATGTAATTTGTAGTGTCTCCTTTTCAAGCTATAGAGCAAAAATGTAAACACGAAAATATTAAATAAAAAAATGTTGCACGCCATCTATGTTTACAAGATTAATCAATTTAGTCGAAGTGGTTAGATGGTGGTTAGTAGACCGATAGAGGGAGGGCGTTAAATGTAATTTTTAAAATATTCTAAATTGCCATCTATCGGCAGACGTGAACAACACATCTAGCCACGCATTATTTTCGCTTCTAGACACTAGATGACGATCTTCGATTAAAATACTCGATGTTGAAATGCGTCTGTGACTGTATATGAGTCAAGCTTAAATTATACGAGGTGGCGACCTGTACTAAGATGAGGGCTGTAGCAGCTCGGTTGAGGCAAGGCGACCTTTAAGCAAAACGCAACCCAAACTCGACCACTCCAAGCCTAAACCCGGTACCACAGGCCACAGACTACAGACCATCATCCACAAGAGCGATGGAGCTTTAGATGATTACTCTAGTGTCGGAGGCTGAACATTTGCTTGAAGTATAATTGCCCCTTAGCCTCATTGTTCATACAAAAAACAGGTTATTTTAAAGAACATATTATCAACTGAGCGCTTTGTGTTCATAAACGTTTGGGTAATCCAATAATTAAGATTAGTTTATAATAGTTTTTACACAAGACTTCTCTCGTCGTACGATGTATATTTAAAATTTACTCTGAAATTAGAACTGTTTCTCTGTATTAAAACTAGATTGGGAAATAAATCACATTATATCTGTGTTGTATGATTTTATTGTTTCAAACAATTCGTTTAAAATTTTAGATAAATAAAATAGACCAATTCACAAACTGATATTAACTTGACATACTGAACTGACATACTGAACATACTTGAATCATATGTTCGCGTGCTTAGAGATTAGATAAATAAATTACAATTTCCTTATCAAGATCCGGGTTTGTCTAGACTGCTATGTACTGAGATGACTGTGCGTACGTGTAGCGAGTCAAATGTGAATAATTATTAGCATACTAGCTTTCGACCGCGACACCGCCCGCGTGGACATAAAAAACAAAAGTGCTTAGCCTATGGGTTCTTCCAGACTATCCTCTATATGCTTCATTTCATCGAGATCCGTTATGCAGTTTAGGTTACAAACTCTAACAAACATCCATCCATCTAAACTTTCACATTTATAATATTAGTATGAAGTATGATAATCCACTAATATGGATACATATTGCGTCTCTATTTTATGAAATAGCATGAAAGGGATAGATATATGTAGGCATGTTGAGCAGTATACAAATGCTCTTAACATTTTATTAACTTGTGTAGTATTGAACTTGTAAGAATTGAATTAAAACATTGTCATATCCACTTTATGACCGTTGTTAATATAAAAAGTGAATCATGTTAATTAAAAGAGATCAAGATGTTTTAATATTTTCTGTCTCTTTCTTCAACTTGTCATGATCCTCCTTAACTCTTTTACATTCACTTTGTAGATCCTCAAACTGGCTCTGGAAATAAATAATAATTTATTCTTATCATTCATTCATTCTTTATTTCATTATTGGTATTAAATAGAAAAAGATATGTTACTTCAGTAATTTAATAATTATTTTTTTAACAACAAAAGATAATTAACTTTCAGACAAAACATTCCCACATTTGAATTTTAAAATTAAAACAATTGGATAGCTTTTAATTTTGGGACTAAAATGCAGCCACTCTGTATTAAAAAATAAGCAAATTGGATCATAAATCACAGCATCATTAATGTCCATAGATAAAAAAATAGAATTGAGTACTTCCTCCATTTTGAAATCAGTTAACAGATATATGTAGTAAAGACGAAGTAAAAATCTATTACTTCTTGCTTCTTTATCATAATACAAGACATAATTAAGGAGTTTTGTGGGCATCCTAAGAGATTTAGTAGACAGCAGCAGACAACAATTTCAGGTAAGGTGGAGGTTAAGTATATAACCGCAGTCGCTACAAAAATAAAGATTATACATTAACATACCTGACATATTGATATGTGTTGTTTCATTGCTCCACAACTTTCTAATATATCTTTGTATCTCTCCTTATCTGCTTCCCTCGCTTTTTGTGTTTCTGTTAATAACCTATCGATACGGTTTTTGTATTCTGTAACAACTTTAAACACAAGAACATTTATTTACAATAATTACAGAACTACCATTTATGCCAAACTGACTTAATTTTATGGTTATCTGTGGATTTGTAAATGTATATGGCTTTGTTTGGATATATATCTCATTGTGACCATTTTTATATAAAAATACTACTATAACATAATTTATAATCTGCTCCTTAATGAAATAGAGATAAAATTAGTGGGGCATCTTAGTTTTAAAATCAATTACCATTTAGTTGATATTTGATTGATGTCAGTTCAGACATACAATGGTTTTCCGATTCTGAACTGTTATAATTTACTTGTAGCTTATTTAGATATAAATAAGCAATCCAGACAAAGAATGTAAAGATTATAATTGAGATCAGAAATCTTCCTTTAAAGAAAGTACGCAAACTCATTTTTGAATATTTTTACTACGTTTATAATTTATGTCTTATGGCACATATTTAGTTTAACATTAATTTTATTTATAATATGTATTTGTGTATAGATAGATGTACTTTTTACAAAAATTTAATTTATCATTATTTACTTTTTAAAGGACGTTTGTTTGATTTGTGATTTGACAGTGACATAATAATTCACACTTACTTTTAAAGATCAATTTTACGCATGTAAAAATTGTGCGTTTCGAAATACATTACATTGTTTTAACTTTAATCGCTAATCCACACGCAAGAATTCATTAAGTAATGAATTACTCATTCTTTTTTCTTTTACATTAAATTATTAGTACTGCCATTCACCTAAATCTCTTTTGTGTTGTAGAGTGGTGGCGCCAACAATAAAAATAATTTCTTTGCTTGCAATATGGCAATACCAAATTCACACGACCTCGCTCCTCATTCGTTTTCAGTTTGTCGCTGCGCTATTCTTTGGTTGTGTTAACTTTTGATGAAACAAGTATTAAACCGAACCTAGTTCCGTATTAATAGTTAATTTATTTTTTAAGTTTTTGTTTTGTTACTAGTATTTTAGGGGGAAAACGACACTTCTCAATATAATTAATATAGGACAGGATAGATATCTCGCGACACAATGATAAATAGTGGTATATAAATAATAACCAAAAAGGTACTGTTATTATAACAGTACCTATTTTCTAACTAATTTGTGGCAGCTATACTCAAAGTTAGCGAACTGTTCGTCAATTTCTACCAATAATTGATCAGGTAAGAAACTTTATTTCATTTACTTTACAAGTAATATTTAATTTTTTTATTAAATTTTCGATAATTTTAAGCAGTCGATATGTTGATATATATTAAATACGTTGTATGATGTATACGAAACAAGTGAATTAAATACTGTTTTAGAACGTAGACAGTGGGCATATTATTATAAAATCCACGTATATCCATGGAGAGTGCCTCGGTGTTAAGTTTAGACTTTGACACTAGCTTTGCGTGTGTGCGTGTGCCACTGCGAACGTGTTCAAATATTTATATAATTGTGTCAGTGTGTTGTGTTTGTGTGGCTATGAGTGTGTTAGAAACGATTTCTCTTTTAATTTCGGATTTTAACCAGTTGTTTATAAATTAAACTTACATTAACTTTATGCAATAGATAGATCCAAAATCACAGTTCAACTTCTAAACTGCTGATAATTAAAAGGAATATTTTATTTTATTTAAGTATGGACTGGGGTTATTTCTCTGTCAGCATAACTACTAGTAATAAATATATTAGATTCACAACATACCTTTAATAGTAATATTTTATTTTATAATAAAAAATAAGATGTAAAAAGAAATGAGATCACAAGTAATGTAGTACTTTTGTCCGTTTATTTTTTTATCAACTATCAACCAGGATACATATTTTATTCTTACAATGTTGCCGTCTTAGATTACTGATAAGGCAACAGTCTTATCAAATACACATACACTAGTGTTAGAATATTAATTAATTAAAACTCTGTCAAATTAAGGGATACTTGGGTAGTGTGATGGTAAATTGGTAGGAATATTTGGAATATGTTTTAAGTGAACCTTGATGTTGTAGATCATATGATAGTTTTCTTTTAGGTTTTGTTGTATTCATACAATATTATCTGTTTCCGAATGAAATTAAGAGTATTTCGATGTAGAGGGTAGTTTATTATTTACATGTTCAATCAAGTTTAAACATGTAAATAACAGGTTCATCTTTATAGCTTTTCTTGATGATAATTTGTTGATTTAATTCTTTTTAACTGTTAATTATTGATTGTTCAAAAAAATAATTAGCATAATAAATGAATATAAATTAGTACTCATTTATAAATGAGGTTTAATAATTTCACAACTCTGATTGTTTATATATTACACTACCTTTCGCCGCGACACCGTCCGCGTGGAGTTAAAGAGAACAAAAGTGAGTAGCCCGTGTATTCTTTTAGACGATCCTTTATGTCTATGCCAAATTTCATCGACATCTGTTCAGCCGTTTAGGCTACAAACTCTAGCAAACATCCATCCATCTATCTAAACTCTCCTATTTATCATATTAGTAAGAAGTTAGTTTTATAAATTGTAACAATTTTAAAAACAATTTAAATGGTATCCCGTCTACTTTTCTTAAGAATAAATTTACTCTTTCTAATAATTCATTTACAACTTATTTTGGTAACTTGCTATGTAATTATAAATAAACGTATTATTATTAGGATTTATTACAAGCTAGGTAGATTGTAAATTATTGTTTTAGGGTTAATATTATTTCGTGGGCCGACACAAGGGGCGTAAGTTCACGCGCTCTTTGATCTGTTCAAACAATAGTATCTTGGCATTGTTTTAAATGTTTGTTCAAGCTGTACGACAAAGTCGATTTATAGTCAATCGTTTTAATATGACGCCTGCAAGAAGTCAGACTCATGTTACGCAATGATAATCATTTTTTCTATGTATCCTCTTTATCGTAAATGCTTTGCTGGAAACCGTCGGTTTTCACTGACAACACAACTGCGTAAAAATAATTTGTTATTTCAATTTTGTGGCAGAGAATTACAAAAATGGCAATGTTTTTATACAAGTAACATTACAATGGAACCGCGTTAATTATATTCGCTACTACTCAATAAATAGGCTTTATTCTTATTATATTTAGCTTTATTCGTAGGCGGTCTTAAAGACCTGTTATTATTTTTTTGTAAAAGATATCGAATTTTAATAATGAGACAAAGCTTGGCGTTTCATTATTCACGCAATAATAAACACTAAAATAAAGCTTACAAGATTGCGATTAAACGGATAGTTAATTTGAGGTTAATTGATTAATAAACAATATAAACAAAATCGAGTTGGTCCAAATTAAAAGGAGAGTAATCGATTAAAGAGAAAATCGATAGCAAAACACAATCAAATTGTACCGAATTATTAAAAATATAGTTTACACTGGTGTTTAAATAATTCACACTAGTATTAGAGTACCAGATTTTATCGAAAACAAGATAGAAAAGTTTACATTGTAACATACAGAGATAGTGAAAATAAATATTGTAACACCATTATCTATGCATCTATGAATATTCCACGTGGACGACATAAGAATTATTATTTATTAGGCATTCATTAGTTCTATAATCATTATGCGCTAGATTGTTACCCGATGATCCGAATAAAAACATCCATTTTGTGACGTATTTTATTATCAGTCATTCATTTTTCCACTAGTGAACCGGGAAACAAACTCCTAACTTTGTTATCTAATAATTGTAGTAAAATAAATGAATCGTTTAACCACACAATAAACTAAAAAACAGTATGTTCATACGCGTTGATACAAACACTAATATTATAAAGAGGAAATATTTGTATTTTTGATTTGATTCGCGTAAAGAATATTAAGGTTATTTTAAAAAAATCTTTCTCCATTAGAAAGATAATTTAGCAGTGAGTAACATAGGCTATATTTTTAATTTCACGCGGACGAATTCGCAAGCTAGTTAAGAATATAGTCAAATGAAAGTATGAAAAAAGAATAATTATTTAGAAAGTTCCCTTCATATTCTTATCAGAAGGATACTCTACGCTACGATCCACTTAGGTGGTTTACATATTCTAGGATGTCGAATACATAATTATACCCTTAAGACTATAGCTCCAGCGAATGTTGATTTGTTAGACACTTCTAATAGAAATTGAAAGAATACTTAAAAGTTCTAATGAAATCTGCACTGATAGCTCTTTGTTAGGTCTTCATTCATGTCCTATTATAAGTGTATTTATATGCTTGCTTCAATGGGCTTTGCTATATAAAAATTATAATCAAATAATGATTTGTATGCGTTTTTCATTGAAGTTCATGCTAATCTCATTAAACTTAATTCAAGTTAAATCTTAAGTATGCTTGCAAAAGCGAGAAACTTTTATCAATATGTTTTACATTATGAAAAACTGAGGCTTATGTGATCGATGCGACTGAAATGTTATGTTTTATTCAAAGAGTCTTCTATAAGTTTTGCTTCAATAGTTGGTTTGTGATAGTGGGGAATAAACCAATATTTGATCTTAGCAATATGCGTTTTGTTTATTCTATTTGGTGTTCTATGAATCAAGAGTGTAAAAAAATTGTACCATACAGGTTGAGGTCGAGTGAAGCCGATTCAAGATGGCGGAAGCGCACTCAGCGGTCGCGTTCTCTTTCGCAATTACCCACGACGGATGGGATGTCAACTTTGATCGGGAGGTGCTCTATTTGGTGTGGGAGTCTGGCCTCAGGTCCTGGAAGAAACGATTGGCACGATTCAGGGTATGTAGTTTATGTTTTTTTTTATATTCCAATACACGTAATAGGTTGCATTAAACTAATTCAACTCTTGCTGCTTCGTAAGTAAAAACTATGTTTTGTAATTAGTGGCAGAACAACTATTGTACGATTCGTCGGATCACACAATAAAAAACACTTAAATGAAATTATTAAAGATCATCACACACTACTTTGGATTATAAAAAAACTGTGTGGTTGTTGTGGCAACATTCAATACTAGATTTTGCCCGCGACTCCGTCCGTGTGACTATCCGTTATATCTACCAAATATCATCTAGGTCCATTCAGCAGTTTAGGCTATAAACTCTAACAAACATGGATCCCTACATCCATCTAAACTTTCGCATTTATAATATTAGTAAGATAAGTTTATGGTATACGTAGTTCTCATAGAATTAAATTGCTACGTTCCTACATTAATTTCAATATTGTCGGTAATAATGAGGATATGTTACATTAACCACGACTGAATCTTGGGGGATATTTTGGGTCAAACGTTTGCTGGCAATTTAATTTGCGAGTAACCTATATTCTATGTTCGCACAAACGTATTAACGTACAATCTACACAATCTATACCAAAATGATTTTTTCTAATTTACGAAATAATGTAAATTTTCTGTATTCTTATAAATTATGCGACTCTCCCTAAAGTTTAACATGTACCTTACATCGCGTGACCATTAGATTTGTGCCCGTTAACACTAATAACGAAGGTGGCTCGGCTTAGTTCTTCCTCAATTACTACTACATAGTACTATTTATTATAGGTGTAGCGTTCTAGTCTGGTTACACATCACGTTTCATGTCCAACCAACACGTGACTGACGGTACTATAAATATGCGACTCCTTGACCACTATTCAATACAATTGCCGGTTCCGGTGGGTCCTTTAACGCTTGTTACATTGTTGTGAACATCTTGTGTAGACTTGAGTAAGCGCGTATCAATATTAAGCAGTACTTTTATTACTCATCTAATACGCGTGCACATTTCAATGTGCAGTACTAATCGAGACACTCCACTTCACAAGCCAAAAGCGTTGTTAATCAATAAACTGCTATTGCTTTCATCGATCAAGCTTAAAGGTTCGTCTACTACATATTATATGAACTAAGTAGTTATAAGTAACCATATTATTCCTGGTAAATTATTTTTTATGATTCCTAATGTATTAAGACTTCCATCTAGCGTCTGCCACGCCTATGGCTGAACAAATGGTAATGATAAACATACGTTTTCATAGCAATAGGTAAACAGAGTCGCGTTATTACAAAAATCAATTATAAAGCATTCGCGTGTCGCTACCTTCTATTTTCAGTACTTTTCACATAACTTATTCAAACGGATAATTTTGCTGTGACGTGGTAAGAACTCTGAGGTCTAGCATTGTACGGTGTAGTACTGTTCTGTCTCCGCGAGGTGACGTGCGTTTGAACACTAGCAGTACTGCAGTCTACTGCTCTGCCCGACTGTTCTGTCTTCGTGTGAAACTGGCATTAGAATTTATAATGTATTCAAACCTTAGGAAAAGACTATTGTGAGAAGACATTTATATGCGAGCTTTTGAAAAATTCTGTTCATTCTAAAATCTGACAGTGAGTCTGTGATTCTGGAACAAAAAAGATACTTCGATTGTTAAATATACGTATTGAATTTGAAAATAATCGTAATTTGTTATCGATTACGTTAAAGATTGATGTTAAGTACTATGTTTAGAATGTTGAATTGTTTTGAATCCGAATATGGAAAGTTGAATTTTTACAATTTCAAGGTGATGTTTTTTTATTGTAAATATTATAACTAAAGAAACTTTCTATTTATAACCTTGTCTGTATTTATATTTTTTTACAGAACAGTGTAAGCAATGGCGTGTACCCGGGCCATCTTCAATCCCTCTACGTCTTATGGGCGTTGCTTGTGGCAACACATTTTGGCGGTTTTAATATACCTTTTGGACTAGTACAAAAAGCATTGACCGTTTTGCCCGGGTAATTTTTTATTTATCAATTGTACCCTAATTAATATATTACCAAATGTTTTGGTCTCATTAAGTTTTTGTGTTGCTTTGATATATTACTTAAATGTCGTATTTGTAACAGGATAGTCCAATAAGTAAATATCTTGTTTTTTCATATAGGACATCTACGATGTGGCAAGTCATAGCTTGCTTATTGGCAGCTCTCACAATGTGGTTATCAGTAATATTCCTGATGCGATATCTGCTTAAAGTTTTACTCATGTACAAGGTAATAACGTTATCTATATCACCTTTTACTGAATTCCTACTAATTTTTAACAAACTGACAAAATGTTATAATTTTCTTACTGGTTCCTGAATAGCTCGATCGTTTTTTTAATAGCTTGGTTAACACTTTCCATGCCACTACGATTTTTACGATGCATTTTTCTATACCGCATAGTTTTCATCGGACTTGTTAGACAAGTCGACAGTACTAAACGTGTTAATACGTAATCTTCTCCAAGTTGTTCAAAGGTTACAGTCAGTGAAGCTTAACGATTTCTTAAAACTCACTTTATTTAAAATTTTATGTCTGAAACCAATTTTTAATTTAATATATTAGTATTTATGGTATCTTTATAGGGCTGGATGTATGAATCTCGAGCTCCCGGTGCAAGGATCTCGTTTAAAACAATGCTATGGGTTAGTGTGGTCAAAGTTCTGTCAGGCTGGAATAAACCTAGGCTGTATAGCTTCCAGGGATCCCTGCCGAGACTTCCTTTGCCATCCGTTAAAGATACTATGACAAGGGTGAGCATTCTATACCTACAAATTATAGGACATCTTTAATAACTGAATCTCAGTTTAAGATCAGTGTAAAGTATGTTAATATCTACCTAAATATGAAAAAGTTACATGATATTAGAAAATAAACATTTTTGAATTAAATTGCATTTCATTTCAATAGTTAAACAAAAAATCATTTTATAATTATTAATTATAATTAATTAATAATACATTATTTTATTTCAGTACCTTAATAGTGTGCGTCCGTTATTAGATGATGAAAATTACCAACGAGTTCAGAGACTTTCTAAAGAATTCGAAGAGACAATAGCAGTTAAATTACAGAGATACCTTGTTTTAAAATCATGGTAACGTATTACAGTTTTATATTTATATCATTTTACGTTGAATTATGTTAATTTTTAACTCATGACAAAATAGCCGTCATATACAGAATATAAAAATACTAGCTTTCATCCGCGACTCCGACCGCGTGGAATATAAAAAAGCAAAAGTAAAACTATGTGCTTCTCCAAACTATCCTCTACATCTATGCCTTTCATCGAGATCCATTAAGCAATTTAAGCAACAAACTAACATCCATATAAACTTTCGCATTTATAATATTAGTAAGATATTCCTTTACTATATTCTACAACAATATATTCCAGGTGGTCAAGTAACTATGTTTCTGATTGGTGGGAGGAATATGTGTATTTACGTGGTCGTTCCCCTTTGATGGTTAACTCCAACTTCTATGGAACGGATGCTATATTACTCAGACCAACAACAAACCAGGCAGCGAGAGCCGGAGCTATAATACACTTCTGCCTGCAGTTCAGAAGATTGATAGAAAGACAGGAATTGGAACCGGTAAGTTTGTAATTTTAACTGATTTCCTAAAGGATGTCCTTAATTGTATGTTTTTTTTATTCAACGAAAACAGTTTTACATAATTGTGTTAACACTGCTTGGTGCCTTAACATACAATGTGTATTGCACTGCACAGTTCACGTTATATATAAAGGTTAGTTATAGGTTACAATATAATGTTTAAATAATGGTTTCAATAATAAAATAACAATAGAAATGAAGAAAGAAATATAAATATTTTAATTGAAAAACAAGAGATTAACAAATGCAATATTCTTTTGACTCGGAGCTTCTCCCCTCTAGAGAGTCGCAAACTGCAATACAATTATATAAATTAATTCAAAATGCGATATGACTACGATCCCTTGTCCCCATTTGGTTAACTCAAAAAGACGCGATTTTTCAAATAAACATTTTACTTAGAGCCCCCCCTTGAGAGACTACCTCCCTACATCATCGGTTAGCGACGCTCAATTAAGAGAAGATTGTTTTAACTAAAAAACCGATTACTAATGGGCGGTTTCTGAACTACTTTTATCAATTCGATATTGCTTATGGTTCGATAAATTCATAAAATGAGCTTCCGAACGTAACTTTTCTTTTACTCCATTGAAACTTAGGTTGACTTAACATTGAATCATAAAATAAATGAACAGAAACCCAGCATAAGAGTTGTTTAATAGTTACTAGGATTAACTATTTATTTTAAGCCAAGGCCAAATAAAGATTATTTTAAAACGTAAAATAATAAAGCATGTTTTTATTTATTTATTTGCCAGAGTAACGAGGGTTTGTAGAATTTAATTCCGAAGGTAGATCGTATACACGGTAACGATCCTCCATTGTGCGCGTGCGTATGCCGGAGATAATAAAATAACAATCGCGTAACATTGGGAACACTATATTTAGTTGACCACCATCTTAATTGATAACTTCACAACACATTCTAATCGAATTGCAAACATTTACAGAGGTTAACCAATTGATTTGAAAATAACAAAGAGCATCACTCCACCATTCAAAGACAATTGTCATCAGTCATTTGATCGTGGTCTTGACATTTGTCATGCAATGCACATTCAGCTAGTACTCAAAATTATTAGTTGCCAGTTACTTTAATCGTTCAAAAAGTATTAATAATTTCGCCTTGCTATATCTATTTATATGTTTTTAGATAATGCTTCAAAATATGGTACCGTTGTGCTCTTGGCAGTATGAACGTTTATTCAATACGGTGCGCGTTCCCGGAGTAGAGACGGACAAGTTGGTCCACTATCAGGACTCCACTCACGTCACGGTGTACCACAAGGGACGTTATTTCAAACTCATGGTCTACTCAAGAGGACGACTACTCACACCTGTGGAAATACAACGGTGAGATTACAATCTGTCCATATCTTTTTTTTCTACAAGTATATATCCGTTGGGAAATAAATGATTATTTGTATCAGAATGTCCCATCCTTCCATAGCACACATTACGTTTTGCTTATATCTAACAGTAATACATTTTTAAGAAATGTTTGTGTGTGTATGTATGTGTGTTTATGGGTGTGTGCATGGCTGTGTACCAATATTATAAAGAGTAAAGATTTATGTTTTTGTATATATTAAATAGATTGAAAAAAAAAACTTAAAGCGGGAAAGGGACAAAAACTAGATGCCACAGCAGTAAAGAGGCCAGACTACCATTGTCACTGCAATAGTCATCCAATGGTTCTTTCGTTTTGTAATTGGATTTTGACGTTCGTATGTGATAATGATATCACAAGTTAACTTCCAATCAAAGTGTTCCGCAGCAATGAATTACTCAAAGATTTGTAAACCAATTAAAGACATTTCCCATAATTATTGTATGCAATTAATTTCCTGATATGAATTACGCAACTCGTAGCATAGTTCAAATAGATAAATAAATTGAACAACATTACTAATTGATTCGATTTTATTGGAGTAGCTTATATAAACATGTCTTGTAAAACAAATTCCATTTATGTGATAACGCGAGAAAAATCATTCTAGTACTTAACGATTTTTATAGTGTGATAAAATTAATTTTTAAAGTGCCTTCTTTTACTAACTTTATTGCGCTTTATTGCCATGAATAATCTCAAACAAAAGTCTAACTATAAATTTAAAAAAAAGATACAGACAAATTAAGAAGTTGGTTTAAAATAAGAATGACTAGACTGTCATTAATATACCACGAGATTCTAAATTCTTTACTTCTAAAATCTAACAATACGCTAGGACATAGATTTGAATCTAGATATAAAGATAGCAGCCCCACACGTGTCTAAATTCTATGCTAAAAAATCTACATACAATTTGAATCTCCACAATACATTATACACAAAAAGCTATTGTGTTTTTTTTTTACTCATCAAAAAGGACATCATACTAACCTTCAATGCTTACACGTGTTACAAGTAACTATAGCTTTCCCCTGCCACTCTGTTCGCGAGGAACTTTAAAAAAAAAGCAAAAGTAAGTAGCCTATGTGTTCTTCCAGGCTCTTCTCTACATTTATCAAATTTCATCAAGATCCGTTCAGCCGTTTAGACTACAAACTCTGACAAACATCCATCCATCCATCCAAACTTTCGCATTTATAATATTACTAAGATTATTCAGGCTCCTTAATAAATACCGCAAAATACAGCTTACTTCTTGCTAATACTATAAATGCGAAAGTTTATATGTTTGCATTTTGTAGAACATAGTCTCGGGGAATTCAGGCTACTTAACCATTTGTTTTAGTCGGCGTAAACGCAGCCGCGGTTGACAGTTAGTATTAGAATAATTTTGTGTTTAATCTGATTGAATGTTAATTAATATTATTGAAGCTACAAGATATTTCATTTTGATTAATGACTACATATTTAATCTATTTCCTTGTTCGACAATCTAATCAATTATCACAAATTATTAAGCAAATTATATCTGTTACCTACTGGGTGGTTTCTATTATTATTAACTTTTATAAACTATACATATAAGATTAAATATAAAATAATTAGGATAAAGATTTCGTTTCTTTAGCAAGGCAAAAAAAATTAGCTGCTCAATATTTTCTTGTTACTTCTAACTATTATATTACCAAATACATTTAAGTATAAAAAACTTCAAATACATTTGAATGCATAGTTCATATAATTGTAGAAGAATGAAATCCACGGCTTCTAGCACTTACAATTTTAGCGCTTTTGGGACTTTAAACAGGTTTCCACATTTCTAAGAAACATTGGCTAACTAAATAGCTTAGGTAATGAAAGCTTTCGAAGCTTATAAGTAAACTTATCTGACGTTCTAAAACATCAAGTATTGTGCGAAAAATCAAAGAAATGTGTGTAGAAAACCAAACACTGAGCCATAGTCCATAGTTGACTAGTCTAGTCTCTCCTGATTTGAGTAGGTTTAGTAGGTTTTCAACAGTGGTAGTGCCCGCTTTAACATCTTAGCACGAATGGGCCGGCACGCCCGGTGTAATACCACGACCACACAGAAGACAGGCGTGAAGTGGAAGCAATTCCGTGTTTCGTCTGATGAGTGTGGTGCCAGAGGCCTAATTTGAGTCCCTTTTTCTTTACCGCCCTTTTCTTGAGGAGAGGATGGGAAGGGAAAGTGGATTTAACAGAGGAGGAGATACATAGGTAGGGGAAATATCCTCTTTATGTGCATCTCCTTCTCTGTCGGATAAGGGTAGGCAACGCATTTGCAATTGCGGATGTCTATGGGCAGCGGTCGCTTCGCCATTTTGTCGGATTCAGGTGGCCGCTTGCTCGTTTGTCACCTTTTGTTATAAAAAAAAAAAAAAAGGTTTGAGCCTCTCGGTGGGAACTTCTATGAGTTAACGATATCATTATGTAATGTTCGGTATTGACATATGACGTCATGTAGAACCTAATCATTATCATTTTTTTACATGTGATCAGTCAAATCGAACTAGTCCTCAATGATAAATCGGAGCCTATGATAGGAGAAGAGCGGGTTGCAGCATTAACTGCCGGGGAGAGGTCGCACTGGGCACATATACGACAAACATGGTTCAATAGAGGACACAACCGCACTTCACTACACTGTATTGAAAGGGCCGCATTTAATGTATGCCTTGGTATGTTATCTCTTATGTTATGTTAATAATATATCAATTTTATTTTGTATAATAAAAAAAATTGTACACAACACTTGTTGATGAGAAAACTTGCATATTTTAAGTCAATGAGTGTTAAATGTGTAATTCATATTAAAATTCGATTTCACAGATGATAAAGCGTATGGATACGATGAGAAGGATCCTAGCAAGTTGGATGAATATTGCCGCATACTATTGCACGGCCAGGGACATGATCGTTGGTTCGACAAGTCTTTTAACCTCTGCTTCAGCAAGAATGGCTTTGTAAGTATTGATTTGAGTTTATTCTATTAAGAAAAATCAATGTACTCTATTATTCATCAACCATTAAAGTTAGCTGTAATTTTTGTCTGTTAAAGATATATTTTTCTGACCATAGGTTTTCGTTTGGTTAATATGGATCTACCCAAGCATCTTGAAAATACTGACATAATGTTGTAATTGTTAATAATTATAACGTCATTTATTTTTACAGGTTGGATTCAATGCTGAACACACTTGGTGAGCAAATTATTAAAATATGACACTTCAGAATTTATTATATTCTCAAACATACTTAATATACGCTTTTATATGCACATATTTTTTTTTTTTGATACTCAACGCTGTTCTCCTTTATCATTATAATAAATATTGGTCATACAATAGCGAAATAAATGCACATGAAGTGATGGGATTATTGGTTTTTTATGTTACAATTTTTCTCTAATTTGTTTGCAGGGCGGATGCACCCGTAATGGGTCACCTCTGGGAATATGTTATTTGGTCGGAATTACAGAATGGGTAACTATTAAATCTCTTCTAAAACATTTTTTTTGCCTAACATTTGAACATGTAATATTTCTTCATTTTCATGTTGCCTTAAATATTTTAATAATAAATAAGTTGTAACGCCGCCAGATTCCCTGATTCAATTCAAGATAATTTTTTAGAATACGGTTTACTGAATCATTCCTAATCGTCATCCCAATCTGGCCCCACGTGGGGATAGATGAGAGTAAAAAATGTCATCCGTCCCACCTTTTCCGACGGTTGGAACTTATTTTTTAACGGTTCCATCTGTCACCTCAATGGTGACAGTGGGACAAAAAGGTGGGGCGGATAAAACGTTTTATTCTCACCTGTCCCCACGTGGGGACAGCGCGGGTGTCGGTTGGGAAGAATCCGATATACTTCGTGATTTCCCGTAAATGCCACTCTGAGTGAATTCATTTTCTTTCAGTTATACGGCGGATGGTAACACACATGGTATTATAGAAACAGCTCCGCCGCCACCAATCAGATTGCAATGGGACTTAAACAAAGAAGAATTGATGAAAGGAATCGACATATCTTACAACATTGCCCAGAATTTACTCAATGATGTCGACTTACGTATATTAACTTACACCCAATACGGAAAAGGTGAGATAAAAAATCAATTAAATTGAAATACAATAATACTTTAATCTATCTAAACAATAAATTAAACAAAGATAAAGGGTGAGTGGGAAGGAAGATCTTTTTCTGTTCTTTTCTCTGTTTAATTACTACAGTCACTACTCAAAATCGGCTTAGCCGTTTAGGCCAGGTCATAATAAACTTAAGTAAACGTGCAAAATAAACTTTGAATTATGTTATTTCTAGGTTTCATGAAGAGTTGTCGCGTGTCTCCGGACGCGTTCATACAATTACTATTGCAGCTCTCATACTATAGGGATGCGGGTCGTTTCTGTCTCACATATGAAGCATCAATGACACGCTTGTTCCGCGAAGGACGGACAGAGACGGTGCGATCCTGTACCGTTGAGAGCACCGCCTGGGTCCGAGCTATGGAAGACCCTAATGCAACCGTAAGATATAAATATGAAAGTTTATATGGATGGATGTTAGAGTTTGTAAACTACTGAACTCGATGAAATTTGGCGTAGACAGAACATATAGGCTACTTACTTGTTTGTATTTAATTCCGCGTGCACAGAGTCGCGAACAATTGCTAGTATTTTCATAAATCTTAATGACCAACGTTAAAATGAGCCGTTAAAACTCAGAGTTCTGAAAGTTTTATCTGAACTGTCAAACTGTGTAGGAACAAATTGAACTGTTAGTAAAACTTTTTTGTATAAGTATAACTAAATTATTATAACTAACTAGCTCCTTGTTAATTTAAAAAGGGACTCTAGTTGATTATTTAATGTGAATTTTCAAGGAAAAGCGTAGATGGAGTGCGCGAGAATGCGGAATAGATTTGAAAATTAGCTTTTGCTCTCGACTTTATCTGAGCGGAATTTTAAAAGTAATAAATACGGCTCATTGAAATCTTTGATAAAGTAGCTTTCTAATGGCGAATGTATTTTCGTAATTTGTCTAAAAGTTACATACAATAGTTACCTCTTTATAATATACGTACGAAGTAAAGACGTAGTAATATTAATTTTGTATTACTTTATACATATTTTCAGGTTGAAGAACGTATGCAGTTGTTTGTGAAGGCGAGCAAACGTCATCAACTGGGTTACCAAGATGCAATGGCTGGTAGAGGCATTGACCGTCACCTTTTCTGCCTTTACGTCGTCTCCAAATACTTGGAACTAGAATCGCCTTTCCTTCAAGAGGTCTTCAATGAACCGTGGCGATTGTCCACCAGTCAAACGCCACACGGTAAATAACTAATTGTATCAACTAACAGTGTTTACCGTTGGACCCAATAGTTTAACGGGAAACATCCCAAATACCACACGGAAAATAAATGATTTTCTCGACTAAGGTTGTATCTCGTTGGCCTACATATGTGTTCTTCCAGACTATCCTCAACATTTATGCCAAATTTCATCGAAATCTGTTAAGCCGTTCAAGCTACAAACTCTAACAAACATCCATCTAAACTTTCGCATTTATAATATTAGTATGAAGTATGATTAATTTTATATTATATTAAAATTATTAAGATTTTATATATATTTCCAGGTCAAACGAGCATGTTGGATATGAAGAAGTATCCGAAATGTGTGAGCGCCGGCGGGGGCTTTGGTCCTGTTGCGGATGACGGCTACGGCGTTTCATACATCATTGTTGGTGAAGATACTATCTTCTTCCACGTGTCCAGCAAGAAAAGTTGCCCAATCACGGTAAATATTAATTAAAAATAAATACCAAACGACTGAATAATAAAATAAATATAAATATAGCTGTTATTCGCTACTTTGTCCCCATGAAAACCATTACTAATTAACATTAAAGAATTTTTAAAATCGGCCCAGTAGCTTTTGATTTATTTTAATACATACAAAAATACAAAAACACAAATCTTTTCCCTATATAATATTACTATAGATGGTGGTAAAACCACGCATACTCAAAAGTCCATTAAAATGTTAACTTTTGTCAATAGACACTCAGTTCTGACAGTTTTAACTGAAGAGTCGAATTGTTCATTTAAAATTGTGTAAGTGGAATTTGTTCAGACTGTTAAACTTTAACTGATCAATTTAATGTTCAGTAAAATTAAGCATATAATATTGTCTAAAGCGATATATATAAGGCCCAGTACAATCAATTTAAATTGAACGTCTGTACGGCTTTATTCTCGTTCTAGTTTTCGACCCTAAGGACCTGTCCCACCACTGGCTGATAGAGGCTCAGATAGCTTAAAAATTACGTCACTGTCAGATAAGGGAACAAAATCCGATATTTCCATCACATATTTTACATGTTGGATTGTTATCACTTTAAAATTTGGTGGGACAGGCCCTTGATCCCATAAAATCATTATAAATACGGATAACATTATCTGATGATTGTTTTCTCTTAAAACTTAAATCTTAAAATGTTATATTTCCACTTTAGTTTAGGAGTTCAATTATTTTAGTAATTAACAATTGCTTTATCTTTCAGAGCTCAAGCAACTTTGTGAAACAAGTAGAAAGATCGCTAAAAGATATAAAGGAGCTGTTCACCGATTTTAAGAAACTTAAGCATCACGAATAGTATCACAAATAGTGAATCTCCATTGTTATAATACATGTTTAACGACAATATTGCTATCCTTGTTACTCACTCTAACAAATGTTCGTAAACATGTTAATACAATTGATATTCACGGAAACGTCGCATACGCTTTAGCATAGATAATGCAATTTTTTTCTTGTTGTTGTAATTTTTAGTTTATGAAACTTTTTTTAGAATCTAAGCTTTGAATTCGATCACTAATTATATCCATCTATTATTTTTTTTACACTATGTAGTATATAGCTATCCTATTAACAATTTTTACAAGAATAATTGTACGAAAATATTTTCTTATTCTTTAAGCTGAGATACTATTTTATTGTACTTCACAGCTTAATTAACAATTAACACTTGAATTTCCTCATATAAGTAATAACTTAGATGTTTAAGTACAGTGTAACTTTATAAGGAATTTCAACTTAACAATCTTTTAAAAATCTTCAACTGTTCCAAAACTACGTTATAATACTTATATAAAGAGTTTTAAATAATTGAAAAACATTGACACAATATAACCTGAATTTTCAATTCTATCCTGTTTATAACTAAACTCATTGGAACAAATTACGCCATAATAGGAATATTTTTAACTTCCTTCATTTTTTTATCGAGATTGCACTCTACCAATAACTAAGAATACTATATGGTTAAATTTCATATATAGAAAAACAATATGTTATTTTTAGATTAAATTTTTATACCTTCTTATATTTTTAACATTTTATATGGCAAAATTAATTTACAATATCAAAACTAATATTTATTATGCAAAAATGCTAAATAAAATACTAACATCGTTTATTTGAATTGTTTTGAAATGTATTTTAATTGGTTAAATAGTTTTTTATAGAATAATTTGTCCAATTTAAAAATGATGACTAGATTTATATTCTAGAAAAGTACAATTTAAATCACAATCACAAATGTTTTATGTATAATTATGTACGTTATTTGCAATCACTATTTAATGATCCAACAATGCTCTTATTGAGTTTATTTTACCTTAGAAAAAGTAGCTTTTATTATACACTTCTATCAGTATTTCCCAAACTTGACCCTTGAATAAAAATAACAGCAAATTTACCATTTAGATAAATTTACAAACCTTTATAAAATACAAATATATTTTGAATTAAATATTATTACATATCAATAAAGTATAATGTTAAGTGCTAAGTACATATTTAACTAACTTTATTAGTAGATGATTATCAACTTATACAATTTTGTAACCACTTTTTTAACTAAGTCCACTTCTAGGCAATTTGGGAAACACAGATTAACGCAATCATCACATTCGTTTTTAGATATAATTTGTTACGCGCGATTTTAAAACGCATTTGTAAGGTAATCATCTTATCGTTTACAATGCAAATAAATAAATAATTGTTCAAAAATGTTGACTTTTAATTCCTAACCTATCAATAAGGATTTTTCGTAGTTTGTCTATTTAGGTTGATTAGTTTGTTAAGGAACGAATAATATGTAGGTAAGTGCTGCACTTAATAGACAGGTACCATAGTGCCGAATATAAGCCAAGCGCTGTGCGATCTTTGAACTATGAATAATCGGTTTAAAGTTAAGAAAATATTGAATTAAAATTATTATTTACTATTAATTAATTTATGGGATAGTACGAGTAGTGAAAGTGATGACAATAACATTAACGAATTTCAATTGGATTATGCAAGACCGTAAATATCTAATAACTCGATATATAATCGAATGAAATGACGGTGTTTTTTTTGATCCATAAGATATAAATATTAATCTATCAATTTCAACTTCCTGGAACGTTAAAAATAAAAATCGAAAAAGTTCATACCCGATTTTACTTAACCCATCCTTACTTTTAATCTAATCATCTCGACCTCTATTAAAGGACAGGCTAAAAACTATGATATTTGTGGCTATTTCATTTTCGCCATTTTGGCGCTGATGGTTGCGGTTGTAATAATGTAATTATGTTAGATTTAACATCAAAACGCACGTTTAAATTGGAACGAAACAAAAGCTGTCGTTTATCAATAATCGCCTACCTAATAACATATCAAACCGTTTTTGTTTGAAAAAAATGTGTAAATGAATAAAAGGCATATATCTTGCAACACTATTTTAGTCAATCTGGTCTGATCTTGTCAAACAAATTCTGTTATTTATTGGCGGTTATCGAGAACGACAAACGCTTCTTGAGACATATGTTGCATTTAAAATTAAAGTGTAAGAGTGGCTCTTTCAGTGTTAATTTTTACTAAACGTGTTTAAATTTATTATGTTATACGAAGATATGTTGCACATTTTGAAAGAAATTTTGCACAAATTGGGGGTTTTATCTATCGTTACCCTCCTTTTAAGTTGTTTAATGTTTTGGAGCAGCGGATTCCTTGCCGCACTCGGTGTCTTCTTAACTGGCCTCTCGGGTAAGTAACTTATTACAATAGCATAATAATATTAATCAAACTTATTTTCAATTATTGCTGTTATCAATGTCCAACAAATAGTTTTAATGTAACAGGAATATTTAATATAACATTGTAATTAAATAACTCGTCACTCGACAAATAGGTACCAACATAAGCTTGTATTTTATGCTGTCTCTTTATGAGACACAATTAAAAATCGAGGATGAGGAAAATAACTATGTAGTAATTAAAAATTTCAATTATTGTTTAAATGTTATATTAAGCAAATGCATATCATATTTTTTTTATGTTATGTTCTCTTATGTTTTCCCTTATGATAATGGTAAGGTTAAAGATTGACAATAACCTTTACACGCAAATCAAATTCATCCTATATTTCCGTTTGTACCCTTCATACATATTATTTCAATTGCAATTGCAACTGGCTGAGCAAGACCGAGGCCCCTATCTTGTTAAAATTCATAATGTAAATACAAACCACATGGAGTAAACCATTTTTCATGGTCTGATGTGGATAGTTGAAAAAAAAAAGAGTTTTCCATGCTTCTAGTAATTTCTTATAACCATTTTGTACTTAAAATAAATAATCAATTACATATTAAGATTATCTTTTATATGGAATCACTGAATATACAGGTTGATCTTAACGTTCGGATCACAAGACTTGTGTCCCAACCCAATACACAAATTGTGTATTAGAGGGGTAACGGCAGGTCACACCCTAGTTTATTGTTTCTTTCACCATCAGTGTCCCTTGATTGTGTAGACACATACTCATAGCTGAACATGAGCAGTCAAACAATTGAAATCTGATTATTATCAGCTATTGCTAATTTTTAGTATCACCAGCTCACTATATATCCCCACTGAGGGTCCTGGAGCCTACCCAAAGTAAGGGGTGACTAGGCAATAGTCACCATGCTAGCCCAGTGTGGGTTGGTTGACTTCACTTCTTTGAATTTCTTAGCTGATATATGCAGATTACATCACAATGTTTTCCTTCACCGTAAGAACATCTTTAAAATATGAAATTCAAAAATCACATTGGTATATGGCAGCATTCAAACTCAGGACCTGTAGATTACAAGTCAAGTGCTCAAAAGCCTGAGCCACCGACGCTCTTAGTGTGCAGATGAGAAAATAGAAACCTAAACTTAAGTAGATGCTTGCATAGCAGGCAAGTGGTGCATTAGATTAGAAAATATCAATATGTACTTTCTTTTTTTGACTCCTTCAACTAGCCCTTGTCCTTTTGGAGAGTCAGCATAGTATGTGCTGCTCTTCCATGTCAGTATATGTAAATATGTGTTTGTAGGGGGGGGTAACACGTCATAAACCGACAAACTCCAGATTCAGACTGCCCCAATTCTTATTATCTACCCACAACACATATTTGGATGTTATAGATATATCGCGATCCATCCATACATTCTCCGGTCTACCCCTACTTTTGTAGTTGTCTATTGTAGCTGTTAAATATAAAATTAATAAAAAATACTACCATAATATAACACATTCCCCTATTTTATTTTGTGTAACTTTTATTTATAGTTAGACAATAGGTTCAAATAACACAAAGGATTACTTCATGGAAAAAGCATGCATGGTTGCAGTGTTAAATTACAGATTGCAATGTTATAGAAATATTTGCTGACTTGGAATGTAATATGATAAAACTATCCTTTTATGTATTGTACCTGGAAACAATTGTGTAAATTGGACATTCAATGAATAAGAGTAATACATTATGATGATGCTATATTGTATTCAATAGAGTATAACAAAAAAGATGATATTTCTTCTTGCTGTGAGTTGCCATCCTTAATCCGAATCTTCATAACTTTTGATTCCTTTTAAGAAAAGAGTAGGAAAAGCAAGATCTTTAATATAGAGTGGCAAACACGCTTGTTTGCCCGCTGGCAGCCACTTAAATTCGCCTAAAAGGCAAAGTGACCACTGCCATAGACATTCGCAATTACAGATACATTGCCGACCCTTAATTGACGGCAGCAGAGACATAAAGAGGATATTTCCCCTAACTATGCCTCTCCTCTACAATCAAATCCGCTTTCCCTTCCATTCTTTTCATTCTGCAAAAGGATTGGAAGAGAAAGGGATAAAAATTAGGCCTTCGGAACACATACTCATAAGACGAAACTCAGAATTACTTCTACTTCACGCCTGTCTTCTGTGTGATTGTGGTATTTCATTGATGATGTCAAAGAGTGATCTACCACTGTTGATGACTAAAATTTGGCCTACACACACTTATTCTGTGTGGGAATGCTATTCCAGGATGTTTCATTGTACAACAATTTTTATAACAGTCTCTGTCCCATATGTGTGTTGTTTGCATCAAAAGGATACTCTTTAAATTACTATGCAAAATCCATATGCAACAGAACACTGAATGTATGAGAATTAGTTAACATATTTTGAAAAAGGTCTATATAGAAACCATACGCAATGCTAATGCAATATTTTTTTGCAGTGATTCTGTATATTGGACAAGATCTTTTCCTGTACTACCCCAGAATGCCTCCGGACTCCAGGCAATTTGTTTTACAACCTAGTAATTTCCAATTGCCTTATGAAAGCTTAAAAATAAAAAATAAAGCCGGTGTTAAAATTCACATGTTTCTGATTAAACAAGAAACAAACTGCAATCATATTCCGACGATGGTATTTTTTCATGGAAATGCCGGCAATATGGGTCAACGGTATGGTTTTTAACTTTACATATCAAGATTTTTACTATTACGTTTAATATCTGCATCGCCGAAATTTTTGATATCCCTCCAGATGTTGGGAATAAAAAGTAAGTTAATCATTGATTTTTTTGACAAAATGTCATTAATTTGCAATTTGAACTTTACAGGTTACCAAATGCTTCCGAATTGTATCACAAATTGAATATCAACATATTGTTAGTAGAATATAGAGGTTATGGTCTGTCTGAAGGATCCCCATCTGAAAAAGGTCTCTACGAGGATGCACAGGCTGCTTTTGATTACATAATAGAAAGATCTGATATAGACAAGAAAAAGATCATAGTGTTTGGCAGATCATTGGGTGAGTATTTATATAATACGAGCTTTCGCCCGCGACTCCGTCCGCGTGGAATTATAAAAAAAATAAAAGTGAGTAGCCTATGTGTTCTTCCAGACTATCCTTTACGTCTATGCCAAATTTCATAGAGATCCGTTCAGCCGTTTAGGCTACAAACTCTAACAAACATCCATCCATCTAAACTTTCGCATTTATAATACTAGTAAGAGAGGTTTTAATATTTATTCAAACGTTTTTTTTATAGGTTCATTTCAAACAATGCAATTAAGTAAATAGAGAAACGTCATATTCCATGCATTACGCTAATTATTTTTTTCATCTATTTTGTGTAAATTATCAGCTTGTAAGACGAATATATCCAAACATACATAATGTACTTTAAAGTGATTGAATGAAATCTTCTAGGTGGCGCTGTAGCTATAGATCTAGCCTCCAGATTCAAGTACAGAAACAAGATTTGGGCTCTTATTGTAGAGAATACTTTTACAAGCATTCCGGATATGGCCAAGCTGCTTATGCCATGGAGAATTTTAAATTGGCTGCCCTATTTATTTCACAAAAATAAGGTAAAATTATACATTTGATATTAAGTGAAATGCATATAATGTGTTGCAGAGTTGTTGCTTTTGAATGGTTGGGAACAGTAAAGGAATCTTGGAACTAATTTCACCTCCATCAAATAAATGTGAAAACCTAACTATCGCGGTATTAAAAGAAACAAAGTATATAATCTATTCCAGACTTTGCTCTTCATTTATGTCAAATTTCATGGAAATCTGTTCAGCTGTTTAGGTGGTAAACTCTAACAAACATCCATGCATCTAAACTTTCACATTTATAATGTTATAGTTAGAAGTAAGATGTCAACTGTATTCATTGGTTTTTATGCAATACTCATGAATAAATACACCAGTAATGAGGGAGAGCATTAAGTTTTATTTTTGTTTACTTGAATTTGTAGTAAATATTTTTTCCAGTATATGTCTTTGAGGAAAATGGGCCATGTTGTGGCACCGACGTTAGTAATTTGTGGTACCCAGGACGACTTAGTTCCACCAACAATGTCTACTGATTTGTACACAAGGTGCGGAGCTGTTTGTAAGAAGATAGTTTTAATTACCGGAGGTGGTCACAACGATACCTGGGTTTGCAGAGATTATTACAGCACATTACAACAATTTCTAATAACCGTTCCAGCCCTACCGGACCAAGTAAGTCCTTACATAGATGAAAATAATGAAGTTCCCTCCCAAAGTGAGCCTACAATACAAATAGTATAAATTTATATACTTGTACAGTAATGCAGATGTTATCAAATAGTTTTCAAATTGTATATAAACCTTTATGAAAATTTAGTACAAAAACGTGATATTTTAGCTAAACCTATACATGTTTATATCAGAGTTTTATTCATATTTTTTGAGTACAATAAAATTGCTCTGTTTTATAATGTAAATAACTTTTGAATTCCATTAGTGTCTAATTTTATTCTGTATGTACGAGTTAAGGTTATGTTATAATTCTTACTTTGTTTGGGCCCTGTATAATGCTTCAAGATCACACACCAAGCATCATGCTTGCGCAGCAGAAGCGATGGAATCGAACATCCATCTGTTGGCCTTAACATAATTATAATATTCATCATCATCACCCCTACCTTATCCTACTCCAGTAGGGGCGGCGCACCGGATTTTCGTCCTTCAAAGCACTCTTATCATCCGTCATCTTAGTCATCACTCCCTTCTTGATCATGTCATCTTTCACGCAATTAGAGATGGGCAGAGGGAAAAAACCCAACAGGAATAAACCCGGGTTTTTTCCCATTTTTGAAAAAACCGGGTGTTTATGCGGGAAAAACCCAATCGACGGGTATTTTCATTATTCATCGTAATTATCAAAATCTTGAAAAAATTACCTTTTTTTTACTTGTAGTACAAGTGCAGTGAAAAATAGGAACTGTATAGTATACAGTATAGATAGAAAAATAAGCAATAATAGGTATAGAGGGTTATTGCTGATTGGACGTATTCCTGTTAGGAGGTAATAGAGGGGATCATTTTTACCCCTATATGCATTATACAAAAGTTAATCGTTTTCGAGTAATCCTTATTATTCGATTTTTCAAAATAAACGGAAAACGCAACTTCAAAAATTTATTTAAAAAAAAACTGTTAATGATAACTAAATGCTTTAAAAACATGAAAAATCTTCATGGAACTTGGTAAAAACATGCCGGTTTTTTAAGCTCTCCAAAAATGCATAATAACTAGGAACTTGCTCCAAACACACTGAAATATACACATGATTTCAAAGGAATCAAGCGGTATTTGTAGTCGAACGGTTGGTTTTGAAAACGACTAATAAACCAAAAATACATTTTTTTCAAAAATCGAAATATCAAGATTACTCAAAAATGGTTAACTTTTGTATAATGCATATAGGGGTCAAAATTATCACAAATGATCTCGTCTATTACCTCTTATTTTTTATTTTTTTGCCTGAGCGGAATGCCTTACGCATACTCCGTACCTCGGGGCAGGCACGAGAGTTATTTGGAACTCCCCATAATGGGGCATACCCACTAAACCTCTCTGTTCCCTGCTGGCCTTTGTGTGGGGCGCCACGGGATCGCTATGGATTGCTACCGCGACCGCCCCGAGAAGGGGCCAGTAAATTGA